CCCCCCCCCCCCCGAAAAAAAACAGCTTCTTTCCGTTTGACAATATTACTGAAAGTTTTCTTCAGCAACATAAAATATCAAACACATAGAAGAAAAAAAAGCAATTTTTCTTTTTTAATCTTTAAAATTTTAATTAAACAATGCTAAAAATTGATGGATCAAAAAAAACAAAAAAGTGTTAACAAAAAATTGTGCTGCTAAAACAAAGAACAAAAAACAAAAAAAAAAAAAGTAAAAAAGAATTTTACGAGTTCAACAGATTTTTTGGATAGTTAGTTTTTTTTTTTCCTGGTGGTGGTGAAGAAAGTTATGAAAAAAATAGAAGAAGGTTTTATTTTTTTTTTGTTCATCTTCATCTTCATCTTGTTCCTCGTTCCTTGTGACGTAAAATCCGCTTAAGCAAACATAACTAAATAATTCCATTAAACTTAACAAACTCCCCCATAGCCACCACCACCACCATCACCACCTGAAAAGTTGTTTTTTTTTTTTTTCTTCCTCCTCCACAGATGCCAACAACAAAAAACGACACAGACAACGATCAGTTTAGAAAACGTTCAAACAACACGTTGAAACAACAAAAGAGGGCAAAAAAATATAGAAAAAAAAAACGTTTTTTTTTTTTGAAGAAAAAAAGTTTGGAAAAAGATTTTTTTTGTTTCTTAGAAATTTTTTTCATCAATTTATTTCATCCTAACTGTGTGAAAAATCAAAAAAAAAGAAAAATCAGAGCAGAAATAAAATGAGTGAGAATAAAAGAGTCGGTGTACATTGAAGAATTACTTTGCTGAAAGAGCTTCTAAGCATGCCGAATAAATGTAAAAATTTTGTATGATAACACTAATATACTTACCGGCTTTCTGCTTTTTCATCGTAAAAACTTCGTCCTCCTGAAATTTATTTCAAAACATTAATACCAAAATATATAAAAACAAAACAAAAAAAAAGAGAAAAAAAAGAATCAGATCAACAATTATTGACTGAACAATAAAATTAAAAAAGAAATCTAATCTTTTTTCTTTAGTTATGGTTATTATTTGTATATCCTTATAACTCAGATGCATTAAGAGAAAAAAATTGTAAAAAATTTTACAAATTATAAGAGGATAAGAAAAAAAATTTTTTTTCCCTATTAATGTTACACTAATGAAGAATATTTTTCGTGGGAAAATATGTCATTTTTGTCAAAAAAAAAAGCAACAAAAATTAAAGCAATTTTTAGTGATAAGTAATAAATGAAAATGTGTACTAAAAAGAAGAAATCTTTAAAAATTCTTCTAAAATTTATAGTTTCTAAAAATAACACCTTAAAAAGTTTCTTTTTTTGAACTTAACAGAAAAAAAAAAAAGAGGAAAATTGCCTAACAAATAAGCAGAAAAGCAAATGAAAATGCGCTTTTTTTTTGCTATTTGGAGACTAAACTGTTGAACATCGTTGAAACCGTTAGGACAATGTTTTAGGTCATTAAAGCAAAAAAAAAAAGACGAAAACAAAAAGAAAATTCCCTTTTTTTTCGGTTCCTAAGAATCTTTTCTGTTCAAAAATTTTTTTTTTTTAAACCCTATTCACAGCCCTTCTCAGCCTGTGGAATGAACACTGTTGGAGGCTTTTCAACCATGTAAATACACAGTGATACACACACAAAAATTTGCAATTACTTATGATGTATATATATATACACTGTATAGCAGCAGTATTACTAAATTATATACGCACAGAGACAGTCACGTTTTTTTTGTCATCTACAAAATGATAAAATATATGACAATTTAATGTCAGACTTAAGCAAATGAAAATTCGCAAAAGATTATATATTTGATACAAAATTTTTTGTTTTTATTACTACTATATTCAAAAGTGTAGTTTTGGAAGTTAGATTAACAAATATCAATACTTATCGACATAAAAACTAAAACACAGAAGTACGTCTCGAATGATTAAAACTCTTTCTAGTTGTTCAGATTAGTGTTAACAATTTTTCGACCAAAGACTGAACTTGATCATCGAGGAAGAAGAACAAAATTTAAGTGAGAATAAACTGCACAGAAGTTGTCCGCAGACACTGTTAGATGGAAGATGCATTTTGAAAAGTGAACGAGTTTATTTCTTGACTGAACAATATCAACTGTTCTTCCAGTAACAGCATCACTGTATGCTCTTTTCCTCTGAGATCAAACCTTATCCCCTCCCCTGCAAACACTCACACGCTCACATAAAACAGTTACAATAAATAAAAACCTTTAAATAACAGTATTTTGAATGGTCTCTTTGTGTGCTATATTTCTGCAGGCTGAGATGAGGCGAACATCGTTAGAAAAAAAAATGCAAAAAAAAAAAAAAAGAAAAACCTGATGAAAGTTCAGACCAAAATAATGCAATCAAAAGATCAACTTCATTATAAAAATGCCATTGCAACGTAACAACATTGAGTAATTAACAACTATTTAAAGAAATATTTTTTAATGGTCAAAACTGAGGAAGAAGCTTCAAGACAAATTAAAGAAAAAAACCTGTTGATCTCGTTGTATATTCAGTTCGTCACAACTTCCGGCGTGTTGCATCATTTTATTGTTTCGTGTAATAACATCTGCTAAATTTGGTAAATGTTGCACCTTTACCGATTGTGGTGACGGCGGCGGTGGTGAAGATGGTGATGAAACGTCATTGTTTTCGTTCGTTAGTTCCATACAATAACTTGCCTTAACTTCTGTCTGGAAAGAAAAAAAAAATCACAGGCAATAATAACCCAAAATGATTAAGCCTTGTGATATAGTTATAACATTATTGTAGCCCTGAACCTCTGTAGAGACAAATTATAGTTTTAAAATGACATTTGCCGACTAATAGCATCATTTATTAACAGCGTTAGCTCTGTGGTATAAACAGACTATGCGTGCCGTTTTATCTCAGTAATCAAAATCACATTTTTTATGTTTGCCGTGCAACGGTAAACCGCAAAAACCTACACCAATTTCAAAAGATGCTTATGTGCAATTCGTTTAATTAAAATAATCAAAATTTCAAAGAATTTCAGAAAGTTTAATTGCTTAAAAAAAAAAACTGGTCTTTTGCCTAGTTGAAAGTCGTGTAGGTAGCATTAAAATTTGAAACATACCGGTGCAATTTTTGATCGTCGTCGTATAGCGCCGCTTGTAACTGTTCGTGTCGAATTTTTATCGTTCTTCTTCTCCGGCAAAAAATTTGGTGGCGGACTTGACGGAGAACTTTCACTATCCGCAAGAAGTCCCGAGCAAACACTGATATCCCGTGTCGGTAAACCAGAGTTACTTGCAAACTCTGCGTTATTCCGTACTACTGCGGTACCGGTTTTTTCAAGTTTTTGCTCTAAAACTTTAAGTTTTGAATACAGAAAAAATAAGTGTACAAAAGAGAGCAAAAAAGAAAATATAGAAAGTAAAAGATCTGTTTAATTTATTTTTTAAACTTTTATGAGTCATTTCTGGGCAGTTAAATTAGCTGTTTCATCCATAACATTGAAGACACATAACCACATAAAAACAGAAACGCATACACGCAAACGCAGAAGCACCGTAGACGCATATATAAATATTT